ACCTCTGAGGTAAAAATACAGTTTTATCCCCTTCTATCACCAATCGAATTGTATCTCCAAACCTTGTAGAAACTATTTCCGCTGAATTAATTTTGTAAGCAACGTCCTTGGTTAACTCTTTTAATTTTATTATAGGTTTAGGTTCTCCTTCTATAAGAAGATATTGATTTATTTTTAACATATCCATTTTTTTCTAAAATAAATGCATTTAAAATATATATTATTAAAAATACAAAAATTGTTACCTTATTTTTATTTAAATAATCTGAAGAAATATATACTTCGGTAAAACTATGTATAAATATATGTATATTATTTTCGAGACTTGTTTATAAACTGAATATACTACAGCAATCTGTTTACTATTTATATGTTTTAAATCGCCCACACAAAAAACATGATCTTCATATCAACATTTAGATACACCTTGACCTTGACGCGTGAGAAGTGCATGAACCGGGTCCTTGTGAGTGTGGGTCATGCGTGGTTGGTGCGTGAACTTGTCCGCGTGTGTACGGGCATATGGGTCGTGCGTGACATTGGCCTTTTCGTCCGTGCGGGTGGGGCATTCGGGCCGTGCGTTTGACCTTGACATTGACCTTGACACGTGGATCCTTATCTCTCTTATCTCTCTCTTATCTGAGCTAGTAATGGCATAGATTATCTACTTAAAATAATAAAAATGTCTCAAAATATGCACTGCAAACAAACAAAAATAATGACATATTTATGCTGCGTTTGAGAATCCACATCGGATGCATCTGAGATGTAAAAAATCTTTGATCACGTGATTCAGTATACGTAAATGTAATGGGACAGATGTGTCCGATGTGGATAAAAAACGCTCGAGATGTAAAAAATGCATCCGATGTGGATTCTCAAACGCAGCATATATATTTACATCGCATTGACACTATTGACGTTGACGTTTTTGTCGCTTATTTTCGGACATGCTCAGAAAAATATGGACCCCTCATAAAAAATGATCTGTCGCTACTGTATTGTTCTTTATATTGGGATCTCGGTAAAGCAGTTTCATACTAGGTTTCTATTGGTAGATCGTCGAATTTTGCTGAAATAATCTACAACTCTTCGTTAGGTTGATCTGTTCGCAAAATATTTATCGAAGAGCATTCAAAAATATACTTTCCTTGACGCATGCGATAAATGTCATATGCCAATTGACGCATACTACTTTTAGCGAATGGTTTCAAAAATTAACTCCCGGTAGTAAATCTTTGATAACGTGATTCAGCATACGTAAATGTAATGGGACAGATGTGTCCGATGTGGATAAAAAAACGCTCGAGCTGTAAAAAATGCATCCGATGTGGATTCTCAAACGCAGCATTAGTTCGACAGAATGTGATTCTTATGTTGTCTCTCTATTCAACACGTAACGTGTTCAGTTCGCACATAAGAATCCCTATCCAGTATTGGGATTCTCATATTTCAATTCGGCACGTGTTGAGACGACTATCTTCGTTCCACAGAATGGGATTCGTATGTAATATCTCTCTCTATTCAATTAGTTACGTGTTGAGTACAGTGAGTACAGGCATCGCATCCTAATTTGTCAGTAGTGGGGTAAAGTTTGCGCACTTCTGACACACCTTCAAACGATCTAATAGACCTTTTCATCATGTCAGGAGCGCAAGCGCAGCCACCATGTTGAAATAGCGGTAATTCAAAAATTTCGTGGTGTTTTGATTGACAATGGCTGGAAAAGTAATATTATCTCTACAGAAAAATTAATCATTAGAAAAAATCGTAGATCGTGATTAACTTTTTTATAACTCTGTAGAAGCGCATAGTTGTGAGCAGTTGAAAAGGTGGTTGAAGTGTCTTGGATGTTTGCTACAAACGAAAAAAAAAAGGGGACTGATTGAGAGGTTAGGTGTATCAATACTGCTTAACTGTGTAAAAAAATAATGAAAACAAATAATTGTAACTCCATTCTAATTAATTATGCTAACCAACTATTAAGTACTTACAAAAACACTAACATGATAGTTAATTACTATAGTATAATTAATAAAATAAATGATTTAATATTTTTTGAGGATCAATATGACATTTTTAATCATATTACTGTGTATACCGAAGTAGTATTTAATATTAAAAAAAATATTGTGTATAATACCAGGTAAGAATTTTCTTCTGTTGGACCATTTTCTCCATGAAAATGTAGTGAACAAATATAAATATCTTTAGTAACATCATCAATACATCAAAAACCGTTGTCACTTCGACCACATTTTTTTTACACCTAATGCACATTTTGCGCTTTTTAAACATGTTTTAATATGGATTATTGGCCTGATAATTTGATTTTTTTTACGATGTTGCAGCCAAGGCTTTGGAAAATTTATGAAATAATATGTATTGCTTTTGAATGATTTATACTGTGTGTCACTTTTACATACTCCATAACAACACCGTTTCGTTTCCGTACAAATAACATAATTATAATTGATTGCAAAAAATGTATTTTTCAATTAAGACACTAAACTTATTATTGCTTCACTTTTTCTTGCTTTTTTTAAATGAATATACCTAAATTAATATGTATCGATTATTTTTTTCGCGTGGGCATTTTAACATGCTTTCTAACAAAAACAGTACGAAAAAGATGGCCGATATTGACACATGCGCACAAAAAGAAATTGTGATGAAAAGGTCTATGGCTACTATTAAAGCTCAGTAGCGTATACTATACTTTCGCTTTAAATAAATTTTCTAGGATTTTTAAAACGGTCACGGTCAGATGAATAACAAAATTTTAAGTAAATTACCTAAAATTTTAATCCTTAATAACGGTTAAATCGAGTCCTCTCTCGTTTCTAAGAATGTTTTATTAACAGTGGCTACCATTTGTTGGTATTTTAGGAAATACCAGAGTACCTACCCAATGTATCAAACGCAATGTAAATAGGTTTTTAAGTATTACAGAAATTGTTAAAATTTATTTGTTATCTATGAGCTAAAATGTATTCTGTTAAAAAAATTTATTGGCTGAAAAAAAATGGTGATTTTGCACTTGATATCTTTAATATTTTAACAAAATGTGAGGGTGAAGTAGAAGTAGTGTAAGTCATCAGCATACAAATATTAAAATAAGACAACGAGGATTTTTTAAAAATATGAATTTATACTAACCTCTATTCCTTGTTGCTATAACTACTATCAAACAAAATAAATATAAACAAATTAACAGAATTCTAAAAAATCGTCATCAAAATGATCACTATCACTAAAACTATAACTGCATTAATAATAACTGTAGGAATTACAACGGCATCCATTATAATTTCGTGATCTAAATATTTATCTTCGACAGTTATTAAGTACATGTGCAGATCTTTTTTTCCAGTCTTCTTTGGTTACTGATTTAAATTCAATCTGATAATCTATTGAAGTCCTGCTGAAGCGCTAAACAGACATACATGTCTAGTACTAATAGATATATTTTAAAATCATCTGCAGAAATAACTTTTACTTATTTCGCTTACATTTTTGAAAATGTCAAAAAAATTGTTAAAATTAACGGGTTTTTACAAGGATACAATTTTCAGGAATTACAACTGGTTGACGATTCTGGCGGTTGCTAGTTCCCGCCAGACCAGTATATATACAGAGTGAACTACTTAAAAGTTCCACCGCCTCTTATCTTCATTATTAATTGAGATATCCGACGATTTTTTTTGTTTGTTTGAAAGTTTGGATTAATTACTTTAATAGCTATGTTCACGGAATCGATCCCGAACGCTAAAGTGAAAATTACAGTGCATATTATAACTGAGTTTGTATTGTTTAAATCTTTATGTAGGCGTGTAGGCTTTTCCTTAGCGATCAGAATACGTTCGGGATGGACAACGCGGAAATAGCTATTATAACTAATTCAATTACTCTGTGGCGTTATGGCGTACTTTCGGTATTATATCCGTTTTATATTTTTATTACTGATATGTTGTATATGTGTAATTAACTTTTAATTTTGTTTTTTTTTTTAATTTTGTATTCATGTAATTGTTAGTATGGCACAATTATATTTATAAGTGTTAGCCGACAAGTTGTAGCTTTGACAATAAACATATTGATTGCTTATTATCAACAAATTGTCATAGCTATTTCATGATTCATGTGGGAAGTACTTTTGGGTTTTTTTAATTAATTTATTTGACGTCGGTCTATTTATAACGACGAGATTTAAACACCGACGCTGGTGAGCATGCTACCCCCAAGTACCAGATTTTAGCCAAATAATCCTCTGGTGTTACAACTAGAGGTAGGAATCTTTAACAAGTTGAATATCCATGGATTCGGGACCAACAGCTTATCTCCTTCGAAAAGACACACCCCATGCTATACCTCGTACTCATTGATATAGCGCCTGCCAGCTGTGGTACGCAGGCAGTTTGCTCTGCTTGACTGCAGATGTCGATATACAATAGTGAACCTGCTAAGCGGGGAAGCTGCCCGTGCTTTTGGGTTTACAGCACACATTTTGCAACACATACTGTTTTGTTTTTGCGTTTGATAGTGTTTGTTTATAATCTGATTTGGCTTTTATAATGGATATGTTGCAAAAAATACACCTACCGAGACTCAGTGACAATTGTTTAAAGCAACGATGACAATTATTGTTATAGCCAACCCAACAGTTGCAGTTAGGGTGAATATAAGAGAAAGGGAAAATAAGTTGTTTGGAAAGTTAATAGATAATCCCACACTTTTTCGTGCATGAGTACTGCGAAATGGTTGAATACAGATTTAACAAATATGTTTTTGCAACTGGGACTAAAAATTTTTTAAATTATACTTTAATAAGTGTTTGGAATTATATTTATAAAATATTTCTCGTATCTTGGGATTTTGAGGAAGGGAAATCATTAAAATATCTCTTAAATCTATTATTTTTTTATATTTTTTTCAGCTAGAGGAAAATGTAATGAATAATGTAAGGTTTCAGATTTTTTTTTATATATTAAAAAATACATTTTCAATATTTAGGAATAGTATATTTTTCATCAAACATTTTATAAAATATAGTATGATACATAATAGGACTAGGTACAAAATTTAAAAAAAAAACCGAAAAATTCATACCGAGTAATGAATAAAATAAATAACATTAACAATAAACTAGATTTTAATCTATTTATATTACATTGTAGAATTATTTTAGTTTAAAATTGGAAAAGTTTATGGATAAATACAAAATAAATTGTAACGGATCACTCTCACATACACCACATGCAAAGAAAGGACAAGCCCACTTACTTGTCTTATCATTTGGATTAAATAATTTAAATTTTTATGAATACATTGCTAATAAATTATTTAGTTTTACAAAAATAGAGGAATATTCTTAAGTTTATTTGCACTTAGTATTTAGTTTGGGTTTTATATTGTTTTTATATATTTATTTAAAAAGGATGGCAATGATAATATAATAATTTTCTATTAGGAGGTAATATTCATTTAATTAATTACTTAGTAATAAAGTTTAGTTTCCTTTATCAAAATCAGACAAAAACTATCATTATCACAAGACGAATAACCAAATGTTTTCCATAATTGATATATACAAAAATTTAAAATAAACATATTTTTCCCTAAAATAAGCAGGGAATTACACAGTTAAAAATCAACTTTTTATATTTTGTTTTACCGAAAACTTCTTATAAATGTTTATACCATACACATTATTGAAGCCATTTTATAATACAAATACTCTATAATTTTTATAAATACCCTAAAATTATAACAAGTTATAATAAAACTAATAAATTGAAAAACTATATTTTGTAGAAGTTCCTCAATAAGATGACAGATCATATCTAATTAAATTGATAATTGGATCCATTTTAAATTTTATTTTTAGCCATGTATGTAACTCATGAAATGCAACAACTTTTATCAAACATTTTTTTTGCCTTCTTAGTTCTTATGATATTATTTTCATGTTACTGTATTTTTGTTTCCATCAATGGAGCTTTTTTTTTCTTTTTCAATAATTCACATTACAATTTTTAGCTATCGAAGCAGACAGAAATAACAATTTTATACAGCAGAGCTTGGAGTGAACAGAAGATACCCGTAGATTGGGAATATTCATATAAAATTTGAAACAACGAAGATTGGACGGCCATTGGAGAGTTAAATGGTGGCCCGGGAAACTAGCAACTCGTGTGTCGTCCTACTGCGGTAGAATTTCAGTTAACGTTGGTTGTATCCAAATGACTTTTCCACCTCTCTACTCCCAGAACGAACATCATGATGAACTCTCCCTTAAATAGAATGTGCATCGATTTTAATGAAAATACTAAAGGGATTGACCCATTCTCATGTTCATTAAATCAGTTTAAGAATAAAATCAAAATATTGTCATAAATTAGCCGGTTTCTTTATCTTTGTTTCTTTATTTCATTATATGGTTGTCTATTTTTGTTAAATTATATACTTGTTTCAGCCTTATTAGAATTTAAGTTGTCCTGTAATTGGGTGGACAATAAAGGATTTTTTTTCCAAAATTAACACTGTGTTTAAAGGAAAACGTTTTAATACCATTCCTGATAGTGAGAGGGCCCTTCCAAAAATGATTTCAGTCATGGATTCAACATAGGGATAAGTACTTGCTAGCCAAGGACAGCAATTTGAAGGAGATTAAATCGAATTCCATGCAAACGTATTACTTTGTTTCTAATAAAATTATTCAGTGTATTTTTTTATCGCACCTCGTACCTTGGATTACACTTAAGGCAATAAACTGAACTGAAGTAAATAACAATCAAAAAAGAAAACAAATTGATTTAAAAACCAAAGGGCTTAACTAGATAATAGGTGAACACGACAAAGAAGTGGCCCGCAAGATACGTGCGAAAATAAAAGAACCAGAAAGAGATCGAAATCCTTATTGAACAAGTAAGCTATTCCCTACAATGTCTACTTTTGCCAATACTCATAAAAAAGTGTGAAGTAATTTTGGTTCCACTGACAGTTAATTCTAACCAAACTTTTAACAATATTTGACACGTTTTTATTGTTTTATTAAATATTCTTTGTAAACAAAACGAACAAAACGCACTCAAAAAAAAAAAAATACTGTAATTGTCAGTGGAACCAAAATTACGTCATCACTAATTTAGTAAAAATTAACAATAAACTCCTCCTACAAGGCAGTCATTAAACCAATTTGGTAAAATATTATGGAGTGGAACTCTGTCGCTGTGTAAGTAAATATCTGGTTATCATACAAATATCTCAATCGAAAACTTTATGAGCCATCACAAACACCTCCAATCACACCTTGCGCACAGATCTTAAATCCATTATTTAAGAAAAGTTTAGTAACTGTTCCTAATCGAAGACTGGAGAGATCTTGTCATTAGATTTACAGAAAAATAGAGTAGAATCGATGGATCCTACTACTTTTCCACATAGTGCAAGTATCCTTGACCTCTTGTATCGTAAATAGATTAAAACACACATAATAAAAAATCGAGGAGTCATTTGGAAACAAAAGAAAAGAAGATAAAACATAAAAAAAGACTAAATTAATTTATACAAAATTAAATTCTTTCGCCCTATAAACACAGTATATTTTTTACGGTTTTATTATACATTTATTGCGGATTTACAGTACACTGAATTAAATAGCGAGTAATAAGTAAATAATTCAAGTGTTTCTGTATATGAAACCAGATGGGTAATCTCCACTAATGTGACTTCAATATTTACCATTATGTCCATAATCTCTTTTAGTCTTCTGTTCTCTAATAGATTAGGTATACAATATAAATAACCTTCACTTAACTAGTCACGGGAATCAAAAAACACAAAAGAATACAAAATGTTCTGCAAAAATTGTTGCTTTTGATGATACGTGGTTAAAATATAGGCATTTATTTCTAGTATATAACATATTGAAATAATATTGGGAATTTATAGTATCTTTTTGGAATCAACTGCAAAAGTAAATAATAAACGAATGATGTACAAAAAAAAATACTGCAAGTCTCACTTTTTTGCCGAAGATGTGTGTGAGGAGTCAACCATTTATAGACCAAAAAATTGAAGTTAGCTTTTTTTGATCTAATATAAACCGATCCGACTATCTGATGTAACTTATTTATTATAAATTTCAAATATTTTAAAGTTACAGCATGTTTCAAAACTCTTTGATAAAATAGATGGTGTTTAACATTTAATATATTCAAAGTACAGTGTTATATAATTTAAAGTAATACAATTTTAACTCTGCAGATTGATAATGTTTGATGTTCAGGCGTGGACAAGGCAAACAAACATATCTCAAGAGTGGAAAGAATTACTCTTAGATTTCTGACAAGTTTTTAAGTTTTGAACCTTCTTTATGAACCAATATTAGCTGTCATAGAATCCAAAAAATTATGGAAGTATGTTGAATTAAAATTAAAAAAATAAGAAAAATTAATTTCATTTAAAAAGAAAATTCGATACTTTAAAAGTTTTCATTTTTCAAATTAGAATTCAGGCTAAAAAAAAGTAATAAAGGTTTAGAACCTATATTTGATTTTAAAATTAAAAGTCAGTATTGTTTAAATTAAATGCTAGTCACTCTTAGTTACATGTTGAAATTTTCAAAGCTAAACTAATTTTCAACCTAAAATTACTTGTCAGTATCACCAATTTTCTCCCAATCTCCGTCCAAACTGCTGCTACTGCTGGGAGTACTTCCTAAGCTTGCAGCCGAATCGTGTTTATTCAATATGTTAGGTTCTAAATTTTCTGTTTTTGAGTTCGATTTGGATGATGGATTGTCTCTTTTAGGTGATTCTTGCTTGAAAACCACTTTTTCGCCTATCTGTGATTTAGTTATTTCGTTTTGATTTCTTCTTTCAAGTTCATACTGTTCCAAAAGTTTAATCTGTTCCTCTTCGGTTAGTTCTATGTCAGCTGCAAAATCTTCTAGAAATTTTACAATTTTTTAAAGAACAGTAATATATAATTATTTTTTCTATTAAAAGGAACCTGCACTAAACTTATGACAAATTTCATGGCATTCCGAGAGAATTTCACGAAACTGATACATAGATACTCTTATCATCAATGATTTGGATTTTACAAGGAGTTGAATGTATTTTGATATTTCACTTTGGTTTTAGACCTGTTTGTTACCAAAATGTCCTTAATCTGTATATAGGGTGGTAAATTATATTTTTTTATAAAAGAAGTTGAAATGAGAAAAATCAGTTGGGATCCGAAAAACTGAATTTTGGAAATAGAAAAATGAATGATCCCTAATTCTCCCTAGGAAATTAGGAAAAATACACCCCCAAAGTGAAAACAAACCAAAGAAAAATTGAAAAAGCTGAGATTTAAAGAAAAAATTAGTGCATTGACCTGGGTTTGAACCTGGAACCTTCGGACTGTAGCCGTCCATGCTCTTGAGAGTTGAGCTATCGAGGCACATGGCTTGTAACCTTAAACGATCTTTTTTTAAAGTACGAAGTTTAATGCAATTTGACAAGTATGCTATTGTTTTTGGTGATTGTCCAGAGAAAAAAAGATTTTTCTCTTTACAAACTACATGCCGCTAGTCTTTCGTCGGTGAGCACTATGGGTCGTCAGTAGGATTAAATTAATAATAAAATTTAGATCAAAAGTGTACCCGAAAAGGGAAAAATTAAAAAAAAAAAAGAAATTAAACAGGAAATAGCAAAAAATCAGAGCCACTATTGATAAAAGAGCGATAAACAATGCATCTCGGCGATTAAAACGAGAAATTATATATATCAAACAATAGTAAATTGGTAACTATCTGAGTGAATGAACTAATAACAAAAACACAGGATGTTCACTCTGGAAAGCTACTAAGAGAATTAATTATAAGGCACATGCTTCAATTATAAATGCAAACAGAACCTGGGCACTTAACAACTTTCAAATTGCATATAGATTTACAAAGCATTTAGAAATGACATTTCAGCCAAATGATGAAGAATAATATCATGACAATTACAGAAAATATCATCATCAGACCCACTTCTCAAAAGGAAGTCTCTAATGAAACAAAAAATAACAGTAATCCGGAAAAAAGCTCCTGGTATTGATTTAATTTCCGGTGAAATTTTGAAACAATGTCCAAAGAAAACAATTTTAAAAATCATCTAAGGTCTGTTTCAACATCGATCAGAAACCAGTTACTGACACTAGGATTCTGCGCAGATTAATGGGACCGCCAAATTATCTACTGAGGAGAAATCTGGTGTCAGTGACTGGATTCTGATCATTGTTGCAACAGACCTCTAATTAATGCATCATTTGGTTTGAGGTATGTACCTAAGCTCCGGAAAGTAGCAGAGGCCATGATGATTCCAAAACCATGCAAATCACCTAACAAAATTTCATCTTACAGACCTATTTCTTTACTTCCTGTAACATGGAAATTATATGAAAAATTACTCCTTAAAAGAATGAAACCAATAATAGATAAGTTACTTTCTTCTCATTGATTCGGCTTCAGAAAAATCCATTCTACAATAGACAAAGTGCACAGAAAGACAATATTCAGCCACATTGAAATTATATTTAACAGAAAGATACTTCAAAATTAAACAGGAACAAATCAGACATGTACAAACTAAATAAATATATGCGCTGAAAGATGGCGCACCAAACTGAATGAAAACAAGTCCATTCATACTTTACAAATAAATGGCAGCAATACATTCCAATCAGAATAAACGATACACAGATCCCTTTTGATGATTCAATAAAATACTACGTGTCAAAAAAAAAACGAGAAGAAATTAAAATGAAATACGGAAAAATGTACTAGGCTGATAGGAAAAAAGTTCTTTACGTATAATAAATTGCAGGAAATAAGAGTGGTTGAAAATTATTTTCTACCCCTGCTATTTTTCTTTTGATATAATGCAATACCTGTTACGATATTAGTCCAGGGAGTAACTTCAGGGGGGAAACCGTTGCTTGACTTGGCTATATACTTTGAGGTTGTCTCTCTTCCTTTGTTTTTTCATATAATAAATTGCTTCTCTACGAGCAAATCGTAAAACCTGTCTCGACATATGGCATCCGGCATCCAGCTTTAGGACTGTGCCAGCAAAAGAAACATCAAAGTAATTCAACAACAACAGAACAAGATACTAAGGAACATCGTAGATTCACCCCTGTACTGCCATGACTCTGATCTTCACCAGGACCTAGGAATGAAGTATGTCAAAGAAACTATATTACCAAGTTCGCCAAAAGTCATGAACAAAGACTTTTTATGTTAATGTTGATGCAATCCAGCTCCTAGACAACACAAATCAAGTAAGAAGACTAAACCGTTTGAGTTAACATGTTTAATGTGTAATTAATTTATTAGTGTAACAACCAGTTATTCTAAAGGACCAACGCTCGTCACCAAATGTAACAACCGGCATGCCTAAAGACCATTTGTAACTACTGATAGGTCTTTAGCTATTGTTGTTAATATACTATTAAGGGATTAGGGCAGCGTTGTCACCAGCCAAAGGGTCCTGGAGTCCTGAAGGAACATCCATTCGCCAGTGGCAAAAGAAAATAATAAAGAAAAAATAATAAAATACAAAAAAAACATCCCTTAATAGCATATGTCGAGCGATTCTTGGCAACTAGTTTTAGACTATTTTAGTCCTAAGGGAATAGAAACGCCGAGGCTTCTCAAATGCTCGGAGTATTTTGCTGGTTTGGGAAGGGAGGAGAGATTAATAATAAGTATTAAAACATTAACAAATGTATATTAACAATAAATATAAAACTTGACAAATAGTCTTCAGAAAAAATGAATAAAATTCCATTTAGGGAATAATGCACTATAACTAATAGTAATAAAGATATGCATAAAATATAATTCGGGACGAAAATGTAAAATTGGCATTTATATGTAAATCAATTATTATTAAACAAAATTAAGTTAAAATATTTACCCATAATTCACATCGTACACAAAAACTTTACACATTACTTACAATACAAAACGAGAAGTGATCCTTTCTATATAAACCCAAAATTTATGTGACTGTTGATTGTATTTAACAATGTCACGTTCAATGTAGATTAATAAATTGAAGGTTTGTTTCATTGTGTCTTTTTAATTATTTAATTTAAACATTAAATACTTGTTTAGAATTTTTGGTAAATTCTTTAGATTTTTTCAATTAATAATAATGCCAATTATTACATTAGACCCTAAGAAACACTATTGAGTAAGAACTTAGTATTTAGTTTAAAAACCGTAGTCAATTAAATTAGAATTAAATTTACCTATTGGCGACGTTGTCAATTATAATAAATATATATCTTCCTAGGAGGATGCATAATTAGCCTAGTGAGGCCTAAGTGCCGTGTATTAGTATGTGAGGAAGCTAATTAGTTATTTTTCATAGATGTTTGAACAATCTATAACAAAAAATATTTTTACATTTATTTCATTTGCGCCTTTTTCCAAACTTATTCAGTATAAAATATTAAAAATGAAAATATGATGCATTATTTATAAAACAAATATAGCTTCACATATTATTATTATTATTATTAGTGGAAGTAAAACGATAATAAGAGCGTGGATACGTTTTTCTCATTGCTCCCGAGAAGTGTTCAGATTTGGTGGTAAAAACCATCATACAAAATTAAATAAAGTATCAAATTATAGCTAAAATCATAGTGAATTCAAATATGTAATTCTTATAAAAGTGCCAATTACAGTAAAGCTGAAAATTGCATTTAACAAGGATTTTTTAAAAGTGTTCTGTTTTTTTTTTAACTTTAAATACAAAAACTGGATATTGTTATCTGTTCAATTAGTAAAGAAGCCAGCTGATAAATAAATAACTATTTACAAAATAATACAGTGGCGTACTAGAAATAAAATGACCTATTTTAAATGTCATAACAAACAAGAATTCAAAAACTTGGTTTGTATAAGTTGCTTTAACGTCCTGCATCCGAGTTGCCTTGATCGAGACTTCAAGGAAGCTGTTAGAATTGAGGACCATAAGGTATATTGCTCATCCAGATGTGAAAACCTAAAAAACTATGAAGAAGTTGAAATTAAAAATTTCCAAACAGAGATTGCCAAACTAAAGGAAAATCTGCAAGATAAAGAAGACCATATTAAAAGACTAAAAAGAAGCAGTCAAAGTTTCGAAAACTTAGTAATAGATGCAGAGTCAACATTTGAAGCGAAAATTACAAAGCAGTATAGGGAAATTGAGTCTCTCAACTCGAAACTTCAAAGTGCACAGTGTGCAATAAATGAATATGATAAAACCATAATGAAAAAAGATGAGATGATATTAAAACTGCAACTGGATGTCAAGGAGTTGGATTCTATAAACAGGACCATGGTAACAACAATAAGGATGTTGGAAACTGAAAATATTGATTATGAGAAAACCATTGGGATACTTAAAATTGAAAACGAAAATTTTATGGATGTAAGTAAAAATATAAATTAATGTAGAGTTTTAAATTTTGCATTGGAAGACAACCAAAGAAATATGACTGATCAACTTAATCAATTAAAAAATAAGAACGTTAAGCTGATGAAAGATATTGAAAACTTAGCAAAAGACAATATAATGTACCTAAACCAATTAAAAAGCTTACACATTGACATCAAGAATACGAGTTTTAAAAGTGACAACATTGAACCACAGAATGCCAAGAAACAGAAAAAGATTTTGATATTATCAGATGAAAATGGAAGAGGTTTGGACAGGGAATTAAGAAAGTGTTTTTATCGAGAAAGTGCGTCAATTGAAATAATTTTAAAACCAGGAGCAGAATTTAATAGAATACTAGAAGATATTAAAAATCTTACTAAAAACTTTAACTCAAATGATTATGTAGTTATTATGGCAGGAAAAAACGACATATTAAAAAACAGGTATCCTAGCATTAAGAATATTAGTTATAAA